TTCAGAAGATTTGGTATGCTGATAAGACTTTACCTGGGTGTGGGTATGGCTCCTCACCTCCCCCTCCAAAGTCATTATCGCCACAAATCCAAAAGTGCATTTCGCATATCGGAACGTATCTTGTAATACCTCTTTTTAATCCAAAAGCTATGTACTCATCTATCCCAGATACTGTAGATACTTGTACATTTGTTTTGTAGAAAGATCAGCGGTGACTGGGTTACATCGAAATTCGAAGACCACTCCACCAATGTCTTCCTATCTGTTGGCTGTTATCGTCTCTGAATTCGAGTACATGAGGGGTTCACGAAATCGGGTGTACGGGTAAGACCATTTCATCTTAGTTCCCACCGTAACATAGGCTTAATGAGCCATATTAAGTTCCGAATATGGTCACGTCCAGAGGCGAAGGATATGACACACTACGCTCTAGATGCTGGAATCAGATGCTTGGAATTCTACGAGAACTTCTTTAATATCAAATTTCCTTTGAAAAAGCAAGGTTCGTGCTCCGCTAGTCGAAGAGAAGTCCACGTAATGCAAAATTAGTAGCATTCCTCTCCATGAGCGCAATTCTCATCTTTCGAAAGGTTTTCTCTTCCAGATATGGTTGCCGTTCCCGATTTTTCGGCTGGTGCTATGGAAAACTGGGGTCTCATCACTTATAGGTGATTTTTCTTTGTTCACAAATGTTTGAGAGGAGAAGAGCTTAACGTAAAGCAAGAAAAGGTTTTAACCATTTTTTTTCAAGTGGTAGAGATTTATTTATACATTTGGATATGGATACAAATATTGAGAAATTTTTTCAAATGGTGAAGTGGTGGAGAGCGTTCGAGCCTTCCTTGATGAAGTATCCTTGCCAGAGCTGCTTCTCACCAAGTTGGAAGCTAGAGTGAGACTGTCACGGAACAAAGTTGCATTTCACCCTTTACATCACCCTGAGGAGAAAACCCTAGTCAGATCTGCACTCTGTGGCTGGGATGAGACTTGCTTGAGATCCAATCCGATTCCGAGAAGTACGGTAACGAAGGGTGGAAGTGCTCAGTCATTGTTCCAGTTTTGATCGGCGGATTTGTAATGCTGAGAAGGTCACCTTTCTCAATGGCCTACATAAGACCAACATCATTGTTAGTGTTATCCGTCTAGGTGATGGAACAATTCTTTATCCAGCTTTTCTGACGGTGTTAGATAAGCAGTCGTCGGCCTGCTACCCCTCTGTGTCGTGAGAGACTCGTGCCTTTCGTAATTACCTCGAAATTGTAATGGATCATTACAGCTGAGCAAGAATGATCCGAAGGACGAGAATCTATGTCCACCAGGAATAGGTGAAGTGAATTTCTTAGTAACTCTCGAACAGCTGATTTTAGGTTGAGCCTCTCTGTATAAAATCCTGATCTAGTTATAGACTGCTTCAGTACGGCACCAAACGCCACGAGCGACAGCTAGTTGTTCTGTGGACAATTACGTCAGAAGGTGTAAAGGAAGACAAACTCGTTCCGCGCTTTGCCGAGGCTTCTAAGATGAACTGAGGGTTATTGAAAAGCGAGTGAATGATTGCCTTAATTCAAGCGAAGAAGGTCTTCGGTACTGTAGTTGATATTGATAGGGCGCTCTCATCAGGCGAAGAATGAGGCCACCCGCGGCCTTTACTGTAACCGTTTATTTATACCTGCATTGACCATTATTGGTGAGAACGCAGCAAAAGGCGAGCTGATCTTACGCTCCCTGACACCGCCCCGTGGAATCGTGTCGATATAAACTTCATAAAAACGACTATTTTTCCTTTCACAATTCTCCTTTACTTTCAGAGAAACTGCCTTGCTTTACGATGAACGATTGTATGCGCCGCTGAACAAACTTCGAGTGGCTCATGTGGTTGCTCATGAACTTGCTCATCAGGTTTGATTTCTGGTTTCAAAACTGGAGTCGAATTCCGCTAGATGTTGTGAAATTACTATAAAAAAGGGCTCTCACTAGGTCGACCTTATTGCAGCACGACACCGATGTACAAAATCTGAAACGCTGAACTCCACTCTATCCCAACACCCTTTCGAAAAACTGCGAAAGGGGTTACGAAGGCTTCTCTCGCATTGCCTCACATGAGGGCGGAATGCAAAAGGATGAGATCCCCGTTGTTGGTCAACCGTTCTTGGAATGCGGCACTCATATCATTTTCATTTAAAGCTCAGTGGCTTATTGAATGCGATGTGGCCTGTAG